CCCCCTCCCTCCCTCCCCCTCCCCCCAATTTCCACCGCGGCCAATTCATGGACAGGAACTACCCCAGCGCCGGCTTCGGGGACCCGCTCGGCGCCGGGGCGGGATGGAGTTACGAAAGGTCAGCGAAAGCTAGGTAAGGAGCTGAGGGTGGCCTGGAGAAAGGGGCCAAGGGCTGGGAGCCAAGCTTAGCCGAGCGGGGCCCGCCCGGCGACGCGTGCATCGCAAACTCCCCTCCGGCCTGCAAGGGAGCGGCCTTCCTTGGTTTGTAACAACGCCGCCGCCCCAGTTTGCAAATTGCAAACTCCGCCAAAGCCAGCTCCGGCATGCAAAGGGAGAAATGCAGCGGGAAAATGGGGGTGCTAAACAATTTCGGACTGAAAGGCCTTGGGAAGGTGGGAGGGACTGGCGAAGCAAGGCCTGGACTTCCCCGCATCCTTGGATTCTCGGCTTGCTTACCGCCACCCCCCCTCCGCCCCCCAGGCTCTGCTTTGCAAAGTGGGAAGGAAAGAAGAATTAGAACGCAGACCTGGGGGGCGCGCACCCCATCCCGGGTCCTATTGTTTCTGGACTGCTCGAGGCCGCGCCACTCGGCCCCCCCCGCCAAGAAATTCCGCGCGCAGAGTGGGCGCGGAGCCCCGCCCCCTTTCAAAGCTGGGGTTGTGTGTGTAAGGGGGAGTCCGGCATCTGGGACACGCCCCCTTTACATCCCCCACCCTCAAAGGCAGAGAATTCTATTTGATGGCAAGGAGTGGAGTATCTTCCCTCTTGACTCTCGGCCACGGAATGGGGCCGTTGCATGGGAAGAGTGTCGGGTCTTTCCCGGGTGTGTGTTTGTGTGTGTGAGCGTGGGCCCTGTGCGTGCGTGGCTGGCAGCGTGTTCACCTGTGAAGCTTCCCCTTTCCTGCTGCTTATCTGTGTCGCGCCCTCACACTCCACCTGTCCCCGATCCCCTCCACACACACATCTGGGTTTCCCAGCGTGGCTGGGCATAATCACAAGTGTGTCTAGATTTTCCATGTGGATTTTCCTCGTTCTGTATCTTCACCACGGATGAGTTGGATACCCGTTTGCACACATACCTCGCTTTGCACGAGCCCATGCATTTGAACCTCAACCCCAGGGGATGGACGGAGTTCATGTTCGCACTTGTACCTGGTCCTTTCCCCAGGTCCTATCCCCTCCCCACCCCAACCCCTCCTGCCCCTGCCGTTTGGGGAAAAATCTGCCTCCTGCTCCCGACTTGGTTTACACTACCCCATGAGATTCAGGGCCTATGTGTTCCCACGTGTCTACAGAAGAGGGGGCGTTCGTGCGCACCTCTGGGGTTGGCCTGTGTCACCGGCGCTGGCGAGGGGGGGGCGCGGGGGAGAGCTTGGTAGGAGGTCCACGCCTTTCACGTTTGCAATTTAAGACATTTCTCTGATTTGCACCCTCTGTGTGTTTGTCTCGACCCTGTGCATGCCTGTGTTTGTAAACGTGAGACCATCCAGGCCCTATTTATTGGGGCTCTGAAGTGCGGGCCATTTCTGTGGCTCTTAAAGAGCACCCAGATTCCCTTGTCTTCTCCCCTTTAGGGCCCAAGGTTCCTTGGGAACCCCCCTCCCAGTCAGCTGGAAGGTTCCCCACAACTCCCTGGGGGATTTCCTGAGCTCCCTTCTCAGAGGGCAACTTGGGAGGACACCCTGACATCTCCTCCTTCCCCTCAGCTTGGTCTATGGCAGCTCCAGGACCTCGCACCCCGAGACGGACATCTTACACCGCCAGGCCTACGCGGCCCCCCACCCACTGCAAAGCTATGCCACCAACCACCACCCGGCAGGTACGTCCCCCATCCCTCCCCGCTTCGGCTGCTCCCCCCCAAAGCAGCTGGTTGGCTGCTGAAAGTTCCACGCCTTCCAATTGGCAGTGTCCTGTGTCACAGCCCGCCCCTTGCTGTCTGTCCTCTGATTGGTTGCCTCTGAGGCTGCTGGTCCCTGGTTAATTTCACGCCGGATTCGTCCGCGCCGTCTCTGGCTCCGCCTCTGTCGCGCTTATTGGTCCCATCCCATCAGCCCCCAAATCCCACCTTCTCTTCCAGGCTTTTCCGCCTCTCCAGCGCACCCCGGTCCTTTCCTTCTGGGTTTGCCCCCTCTTCTCGGCTCCTTGTTTCTTTGAATTCTTCCCTCCTGATTCTCTTTCTCCTGACCAGCTCCAGCTCTCCCCCCACCCCTTTTTTCTTAGATTTGCTTACTACTGTTCTACCGCATCTGCTTTGCTTCCAACGCTTCTGATTGGTTCCCGTTCTTTGATCCTGCCCTCCTCCCCCGCCACCCGCAATGAGATTGTGCTGTCCAGTTTGACCCTTGGCCCTTCTGATTGGCTCCTTCCCTTTTTTCCTCCCCCGTTTTTTTTTTCTGGATCCTCCCACCTTGCCTCAATCTCTTTTGACTTGTCTGGTCCTTCTGAGAGTCTAGTTGTCCCTTCCTTTTCCCTTTATCGAAATGGCCCAAATCATTTGACCTCCTCCTTGGCCTTAGTGAGGACTCTGTCCTTTTGTTCCTGCCTCCTTTACTTCTGGGTTTTTCTACTCTTTTGCCTGCCTTTTCCCACCTGGGCTTCCTGCCATTATGATTGATTGCATCCCAACCTGCTTTACTGTCTCACTTTTCCCCCTTCCCTCACCTTGGTCCTGTCTTCTCAGCTTGGTTCTGCTCATTTTCTCCCTTTTGAATCTGCCCCTTTCGGTTTCATCCAATCCCTTTCCCTGACACAAGTTGCCTTTGGCCTCTTTCCTTTCTCTCTCAACCCCATCCTACCTTCTACCTGGCTGATTCTATCCTCTGTCCCTGGCCAGGCCTCTCTGGACTCTTCGACACTGGCCTCCACCACGCGGGCTCAGCAGGGCCCGACGCCTCCGTCATGAACCTCATCTCCGCCCTGGAGTCCCGGGGTCCCCAGCCCGGCCCCTCTGCCTCCTCTCTCCTCTCTCAGTTTCGTAGTCCTTCCTGGCAAACAGGTAAGCCCCTCGCCAGCCCTGGAGGGCCAGGGCAGGGCTGGCTTGTGGTCCGCTCTGACCTACAGTCTTCTCCATCATCCCCAGCCATGCACACGCCAGGCCCCACGGAGCTCTTCATCTCAGGTGCACTGCCGGGTTCCAGCACCTTTCCATCTTCCTCTGCCCTGTCGGCCTACCAGCACCCGGCTTCCTTTGGCAGCCGCCCCTTCCCAGTGCCCTCGTCCCTGAGCCTCCAGGACCCCCCATTCAGTCCTCCAGCTAATGGGCTCCTGTCCCCTCATGATGTGCTGCACCTGAAGCCCTCACAGGCACCCACGGTGCCCTCCTCATTGGGCTTTGAGCGCCTGACGGGGAGCGGTGTCCTGGGGCCTGCTGGTCTTGGCCCAGCCCAGACTCCCCCTTACCGCCCTGGTCCCCCAGACCCACCACCACCTCCCCGCCACCTCCCAACTCAGTTCAACCTCCTGGCTTCCTCTTCTGCTGCTGCTGCTGCCGCCGCTGAGCAGTCCTCCCCACAACTCTACAACTTCTCTGGTGCTGCCCCAGGCCCGCCACCTCCTGAACGGGCTCTGCCCCGCCAGGACACCGTCATCAAGCACTACCAGCGGCCAGCCAGTGCCCAGCCCCCACCGCCCCCGCCACCAGCCCATGCCCTCCAGCACTACCTGAGCTGCGGAGGCAGCTACCCTTCCATGGGCCACCGGGCCAACCTGGCCTGTAGTCCCCTGGGTGGTGGCGAGCCCTCCCCAGGTGCTGGCGAGCCTAGCAAGGGTGGTCCCAGTGGGGCCACGGCTGGGGCATCAGGCCGTGCCACGGGCCCTGAGACAGCTGGGGGAGGTGGGACTGGGGGTGGTGGTGGAGGTTACCGCCCCATTATTCAGTCACCAGGTTACAAGACGGGCAAAGGTGGTTATGGAGCAGCTGCGGGGGGTACTACCAGGCCCCCACCAACCCGCTCTACTGCCACGCCCAAATGCCAGAGCCTGGGGGGGCCAGCGGCTGCTTACGCCACTGGGAAGGCCTCTGGAGCTGGTGGGGCTGGGGGCCAGGCCTATTCCCCTGGTCAGCCCCAAGGGCTTCTGGGACCCCAGGCCTATGGGCAGGGATTTGGAGGGGGGCAAGCACAGGACTTGAGCAAAGGCCCCAGCTATTCAGGGGGTCCTCCACAGCCCCCCAGTGGTCCCCCACCTCCTGGCCTAGCCACATGTCAGAGCTATTCCCCAGACCAGATGCAGGGGCAGTTGTATGGAGTGCAGGGAGAGCCATACCCAGGGCCAGCTGCCCACTCCCAGGGGCTACCCACAGCCAGCCCCTCACTCAGCTATAGTACTGGCCATTCCCCAGCGCTCTCAGGCCATGGGGGTGGCTGGGGACCCAGCTCCCTGGGAGGTGGTGGGGAGGCCAGCCCATCTCACATCATTCGCCCGCTCCAGTCGCCGCCTGCCACCGGCCGCCCTCCTGGAGTCGGTTCTCCAGGAGCCCCTGGCAAATACCTGAGCTCAGTCTTGGCCTCATCCCCATTCCTGGCACCCCCAGGAGCTGGCAGCTATGCAGCTGGAGCAGGTGGCTACAAGGGCAAGGGGGATGGTTCGGACCTGCTGGCAGGCCCTGGTGGGCCTCCCGCTGAGCGCACAGAGGATGAGGAGTTCCTCATTCAGCACCTCCTGCAGGCACCCAGCCCACCTCGGACCTCAGGGGCTGATGGCTTGGTTGGTGAGGATGGGGCAGCGGATGCCTCCAAGGGACTTGGGGGGAGTGGCGGGGCTGGGGGACCGCCAAGCACACCCTACGAGTTGGCCAAGGAAGACCCCCAGAGGTACCACCTGCAAAGCGTCATTCGCACCAGCGCCAGCCTTGATGAGGGTGCCACAGCAGCCCTCGAGCTGGGCCTGGGGAGGCTGAAGGAGAAGAAGAAAGGGCCAGAACGTGGTGGCGAGACCCCTGAGGGACTGGCCACTTCAGTTGTCCACTATGGGGCAGGTGCCAAGGAGCTGGGGGCCTTCCTGCAGAAGAGCCCGCCACCACCACCTCCCACAGCCCAGCCTGCCCAGCCTACCCCCCATGGCCTCCTCCTAGAGGCCGGAGGCCCTGACCTCCCCCTGGTGCTGCCTCCACCTCCCCCCCAGCTGCTCCCTTCGGTCCTCAGCCATGCCCCCAGCCCCTCTCCCAGTGCCCCCAAAGTTGGTGTCCACCTTCTTGAGCCAGCTACCCGTGATGGGGCACCACAGCCGCCTCCGCCACCCCCACCTCCACCACCCATGCCCCTCCAGCTTGAGGCCCACCTGCGCAGCCATGGCCTGGAGCCTGCAACTCCTAGCCCCCGCCTGCGACCCGAGGAGAGCCTGGAGCCTCCAGGCGCCATGCAAGATTTGCTTGGGGCTTTGGAGCCGCTGCCCCCAGGGCCTGGTGACACTGGTGTGGGCCCACCTAATTCCGAGGGCAAGGATCCTGCAGGTGCCTACCGAAGCCCCAGTCCACAAGGCAGCAAGGCTCCCCGCTTTGTGCCGCTCACCTCTATCTGCTTCCCCGACTCCTTGCTCCAAGATGAGGAGCGCAGCTTCTTTCCCACCATGGAGGAGATGTTTGGGGGGGGTGCAGCGGACGACTATGGCAAGACTGGGCCTCCAGAGGACGAGGGTGACCCCAAGGCTGGTGCCGGGCCGCCTCCGGGCCCCCCAGCCTATGATCCCTACGGGCCCTACTGCCCTGGTAGGGCATCCGGAGCTGGGCCAGAGACTCCGGGCCTGGGCCTGGACCCCAACAAGCCTCCTGAGCTGCCCTCCACAGTCAACGCTGAGCCGCTGGGCCTAATCCAGAGTGGCCCACACCAGGTGGCCCCGCCACCCCCACCCCCTCCACCACTGCCTCCGCCGCCGGCCTCTGAACCCAAGGGCGGCCTGACCTCGCCCATCTTCTGCTCAACCAAGCCAAAGAAGCTGCTCAAGACGTCCTCCTTCCACCTGCTGCGGCGTCGCGACCCGCCTTTCCAGACACCCAAGAAGCTGTACGCCCAGGAGTATGAGTTTGAGGCAGATGAGGACAAGGTCGATGTGCCTGCTGACATCCGCCTCAATCCCCGGCGCCTGCCTGACCTGGTGTCCAGCTGTCGTTCCCGCCCAGCCCTCTCACCACTGGGTGACATCGACTTCTGCCCACCCAACCCAGGCCCTGATGGTCCTCGGCGCCGTGGCCGCAAGCCCACCAAAGCAAAGCGCGACGGTCCTCCCCGGCCCCGGGGGAGGCCCCGGATACGCCCTCTGGAGGTCCCTACCACCACTGGGCTGGCCACGGCCTCCACACCCACTGATGGGGCCAAGAAACCCCGGGGCCGGGGCAGGGGCCGGGGAAGGAAGGCTGAAGAGGCAGGGGGCACCCGGTTGGAGCCCCTGAAGCCACTTAAGGTGAGGGGTACTGGCTCTTGGAGGGGTTGGGGCCCATATGCCTGAGTCTTATAGAAAGAAAAGGATTGGGGCTGCATTTGTGATTCGGCCCCGGATCCGCCCTCTGGAGGTCCCTACCACCACTGGGCTGGCCACGGCCTCCACACCCACTGATGGGGCCAAGAAACCCCGGGGCCGGGGCAGGGGCCGGGGAAGGAAGGCTGAAGAGGCAGGGGGCACCCGGTTGGAGCCCCTGAAGCCACTTAAGGTGAGGGGTACTGGCTCTTGGAGGGGTTGGGGCCCATATGCCTGAGTCTTATAGAAAGAAAAGGATTGGGGCTGCATTTGTGATTCTTGGGCATTTTGGGGGGTAACGGGTGGATATGGTTTATATTCATGAAACCTGTGAATGAGTCCTAAATGTTAGAATTCCAGGGTTCCATCGATAGGGAGATCTTTTTTTTTTTAAAGATGACTGGTAAGGGGATCTTAATTAACCTTTGACTTGGTGTCGTCAGCACCGTGCTCAGCCAGTGAGCTAACCAGCCATCCCTATATGGGATCCGAACCCGTGGCCTTGGCGTTATCAGCACCGCACTCTCCCGAGTGAGCCACGGGCATACCTCCTCACTTAGAGGTAGGAGCTGGGGGCCTGGACTCCTGGGCCCTGACTTCCCACTACCCCCATATGTAGATCAGGCTGTCTGTGCCCAAGGCTGGCGAGGGTCTGGGAGCCCCATCGGGTGATGCCATATCGAGTGCTGACCACAATAGCCTGGACTCGAGCCTGACGCGGGAGAAGATTGAGGCCAAGATCAAGGAGGTGGAAGAGAAGCAGCCAGAGATGAAGTCAGGTTTCATGGCCTCCTTCCTGGACTTCCTCAAGTCAGGCAAGCGCCACCCACCACTCTACCAGGCAGGCTTGACTCCCCCACTCAGCCCCCCCAAGAATGTGCCAGCCCGAGGCCTGCAGCCCCAGCCCCCTGCCGCCCCAGCTGTGCCACACCCCCCACCTGCCAGTGCCTTCGGGCTGGGGGGCGCGCTTGAGGCAGCGGAGAGTGAGGGGCTGGGGCTGGGCTGCCCTTCACCCTGCAAGCGGCTGGACGAAGAGCTGAAGAGGAATCTTGAGACACTACCGTCTTTTTCCTCGGATGAGGAAGACTCCGTCGCCAAGAACCGGGACCTGCAGGAGAGCATCTCCTCAGCCATCTCTGCCCTCGATGACCCACCCCTTGCTGGACCTAAGGACACTTCCACTCCAGATGGGCCATCCTTGGCCCCTGCAGCTGCAGTCCCGGGGCCACCCCCTCTCCCAGGACTCCCCAATAGCAACAGCAACGGCACACCTGGTGAGCTCTGGGAAGGTGGTCTGAGGCAGAGCAGGGATGTTAGGTTATTATGGCCACTAGATACAGTTGTCCAGGTCACACACTGTTTAAGGGACACAGTTCATGTTGTAGGTGTTATAGATTTGCATGTTTACAAAGGTAATTTCCTGATTGAGGGAAAGTTAGTGTTTTGAGAAAGATACATCTTTTTCTATTTGCACAACTGGTAAGTGGGCCCTAGCAGGGGCCCTAAGGTGGGTACTGGAGAATGCTGGGGGACGGGGTAGGATATAAATGATGGAAACAGGTGACAGGTTACTGAGAGAGGTTTTGAAACTGCTGGGGGTGTGAGGTCTGAGTCGATGTCTAAGGAGTCAGCAATGTGCCATAAAGAACAGAAAGGTTCTTTATCTGTCCCTTACTGCAGACAGATTTGGGGAGGGTGATGGCTCTCGCACCAGGGCGGGAGGGAATGGCTGGAGGTTTGGTAAGGTCTAGATGATATTCTGTCTTGAGACAGGGTTTGGAAAACATTTAAGGGGCATTAACGGGGGGAACAGAGGCACTGGAGGATGAAGGAGGTGGGAGTTTGGAGGAGGGTATTTGGGAATAGTGAAAGAAAGGACTGTGTTCAGAGGAGTCCTAGGTAATGGAGAGGTTTTTGGGGGGTCTGTAGAAGGGAGGTGAGGGGATGATGCTTAACAGAGGCAGTGGGGAGAGGATGGGAAATGCCAGAAGGTTCCAAGCCGAGTGCAGGATTATTGTAACAGGAGGGTCGTGGCTGAGGACACAGGGATGATGAAGCAGCAGTTTGAGCGGGCAGGAGAGATTCCGGGGAGTTGGAGGGGGTTGCTAAAAACACCCATGGGGTTCTTAAGGGACATCAGGAAGGGAGCTGGGAGGTGGGGAAGGGCTTTGATGGTCTCCAGACTGGTGAGCAGGCTGAGGGGAGAACAAGGAAGGTCTTGGATGGAGGACAGGACCTCGAGGAGGAAATGAAGGAGAGACCTGGAGAGGATGATTTAGGAGTTGGGAAGGACATTAAGGAAGAGGAGTGAAGAGCCAGACAAGCACTTTGAGGCTACCGAGAGAAAAGCTTCAGGACTGAAAAGGGCATTAGGGATGGGAAACGGGTTTCAGGGGCTGAAAATAGCCACTGGAGCTGGGAAAGGGCTTCAGGGAGGGACTCTGATGTGGCAGAAGGGCTGCTGGGGAGCGGAGTGGCAGTGAGGGACTCTAGAGGGGATATTGGCACAGGAAGGGACGTTTAGGGTGCCAGGGATGGTGACTGGCATCGAGGCCTGATGTCCCTCTCTCTCTCAGAGCCCCCACTGCTGGAGGAGAAGCCCCCTCCCTCCCCACCTCCTGCCCCCACGCCTCAGCCTCAGCCTCCACCACCCCCGCCTCCGCCACCACCTGCCCTGCCCTCACCACCCCCACTGGTGGCCCCTGCGCCCAGTTCGCCACCTCCGCCACAGCCACCACCTCCACCAGCCCTACCCTCGCCACCTCCACCACCCCCGCCAACTGCCGCCCCACCGGCTGCCCCTCCTGAGGAGCCTGCTGCCCCATCCCCTGAGGACCCTGAGCCACCCGACGCCCGGCCCCTGCACCTAGCCAAGAAGCAGGAGACGGCAGCCGTGTGTGGGGAGACGGATGAGGAGGCCGGCGAGAGTGGTGGAGAGGGCATCTTCCGGGAGCGAGATGAGTTTGTCATCCGTGCTGAGGACATCCCTTCCCTCAAGGTAAGTCCCGGCCTTGGCCAAAATCTGAGCCTGATGGATTTGGTCACTTGAGCATTTATTGAGCACCTCCTGGATGACAGGCCCGTGTTGGGGATTGCAGGTACAGTAATGGCTGAGATAAGCTTACTGGGTCCCCCTTGAGTTCACAGTCTGCCAGGGCTGATAGAGGTGGCCAGCTGGAACAGTGTGCTCTTTCATGGAGGACATGGCGTGCTGCTGAGATGTTTGTATGTGTGTATGTGTATGTATTTGTGTGTAGGAAAAAACAATTGTTAACGTGTATGGGTGTTAGGGGTAGTCATGTAATGTAACAAAGCAGATGAGACTGGTCTTAGGGAGCTTCTAATAAAACAGAACAAGCCAAGAGAAAAAGACTACTTTGTGATTTATGTCTTAATGGTGGAAACGTGAGGTGTTGACATTGCTTACCTACAAGTACACAGACACACACACACACAGACACACACACACACACACACTTCCAGTTACTTTACTACAGGGCCTGGCTGGTTTGGCCCCTGGGCCAAATCCAGCTCACTGCCTGTTTTTGTAAGTAAAGTTTTATTGGTGAACAGCCATGTTTATTCACTTACATATCATCTGTGGCTGTTTTCCCCATATGATGGTGCAGAGAGTGGGATATTTAGCTGGCCCCAAAAGCCAAAAATACTTCCTATCTGGAAAAAGTTTGCCTACCTCCATTGTACTTGGTTCATTGGTCAGATAACGTTGGATCAGAGGATTAATATGCTAGATGCTTGACAAGGGTAGGTGACATCAGATGCTCGCAGAGTGCTTTGCATAGAGTGTGAATTAGTTCAGGAGGTCAGCAAGCTGTTGGCACCCGCATGGTGGCACCAAAGGCCAAGGCTGTCCTTCATATCAATCACTGTCATTGACTGTGTATCGATTATGGGGAAGGATCAGTATTTGGTCCTTGATTTACATTATGGCATATAACTTAGTCTTGGGTATTGTTTCTGAAGTACTGATGGAGAAATTGTAGGATGAAGTATAATTATAAGGGTAATAACTATTATACTTTTTTAAGTGTGTTTTGTGAGGTGAACTTAATGTGTTTTTTTCCTATGTTATTTTTAATCTATTTTATTGTGGGAAAAGTAGAGCAAATAGAATAATGGAGCTAGGCTGGCCGGTTAGCTCAGGTGGGTAGAGCATGGTGTTGTAACACCACGGTCAAGGGTCGGATCCCCATACTGTCCAGCCGTCTTAAAAAAAAGAAAAGAAGCGTGGAGCAGTGCGTGCCCCTTATTCAACCTCCACAGTCGCCTGCTGGCCAGTCCTGCTTTCTCTTCACCCCGGTGCTTTCTGCCCCCAACCCCACCCTGCCAATCCTAGACGTCGTATCCTTTCGCCCCTACTTTAGTATCTTTTCAGCATGATTTCTGTACATGCAAAGGAACATTCATGAGAGATATGTATGCTATAAAGCAGAACGTCAGAGTGAGCGCCCATGACGCCACCTCCCGGCCTAGCAGAGTGCTCCAGTGCCAAGTGCCTCCCTGGCCTGTGCTCCTGCATCCCCATGGTCCTACTCACTCTTTTAGTGCCCTGTGGACATTATTTCACTTTATCTGCACAATTTCTGAGGCTGATTTGGCCATCATCATGGGACAGGTCAGGAAGATGTCGAATGAACAGCAATGATAGAAATGTCCACTACCTACCTCCTGAGGGACAGGATTTCGGGCATGTCACAGTCAGAATTCAGTTTTATCTTTTTTTTATTGCTGTAACATGCATACCACGAAATTTATCATTTTAACCACTTTAAAGTGTACAGCTCAGTGGCATTAAGTATATTGCACGTTATTGTGTAGCCGTCCCCACTGTCCATCTTTTTATCTTTGTAATCACTCTTTATGACAGGGACTGCTATTCCTATTTTACACAGACGCATACTGAGGCTCAGACAGGTAAAGTCCTTTCTGCTAAGGGTTGTTATCCCCATTGTAGAGGGAAGGAACTGAGGCTCAGACAGGTAAAGTAGCCTTCCCAAGCTTTGTAGCTTGGGATCCACACCCCACTTTGCTGGCCCCAGGAGCCCATGTTCTCAGCACCAGATTCAGCCATTTGCTGTGTACATTCTAGTCAAATGGTGGCAATGCCAGTGACCAGTGCTGCTGGGCACCCAGCACAGGGCCAAATGAATAGGGGCGGGATCTGTGACTGTCTCCATTTTACAGATGAGGAAGTTCATGTTTAGAGAGAGGGAAGCATTCAACTGGCGGGTGTCTAGCTGGGATTGGAGCCAGGGCCATCTGACACCACCTCTCAGTTGGCACAGGGCAGGGGGAAGGAGCCAGGTGAGGACTCAGACGCTTAAAATACAACTTGAGTGTGCATTATAATGGGGGACACACAGCCCCAAGCCTGAGCCACTCAGGCAGACGTTGGGGACTCATTCATGCATCTGAAGACAGGGCAAGCTGGTGGCATTGTTAAAAGTCCAGCTTTGGTGTTAACCTGACTGGCTCGAATTTCAGCCACTTCCCAGCTGGACCAGTGTGGAAACTTCCTGAGCCTCAGTTTCCTCAACTGTAAACGGGGCTGATCATGTTAGTACCTCTCTCACACGATGCTGTGAGGACTCACACGTTATGGCTTGTCCAGTTTGGCAACAACAGGCGGCTTGCAGAATGTGCCTGTGGACGCTTGCTTCTGTTAATCTCGGTGACCTTGGGCAAGTCTTTAGTTAAAGAGCTTGGGAAACATTTTCTGCAAAGGGCCAGATAATATTTCAGGCTTTGCAGGCCACCTATGGTCTCTGCCACATACTCTTCTTTGTTATTGTTTTCTTTCCTTCTTAACAATCCTTTAAAAATGTAAAAACCACGCTTAGCTCAAAGACTCTACAAAAACAAGCCATGGGTCATTGTTCGTTCAAGAACAACAGCAATCCAATAGAAATATCACATGTGCTATATGTGATTTTAAACTTTCTCATTTCCGTGTTTATAAAAACTAAGACAGGTGAAATTAGCCTCAGAAATATATTTTATTTAAGCCAACATAGCTAAAATATAATTTCAACATGTAATAGGTACAGAAAAAAAATTTTTTGGCAGCTGGCTGGTATAGGGGATCAGAACCCATGACCTTGATGTTATAAGACTGCACTCTAACCAACTGAGCTAACCGGCCAGCCCCAGAGATATAGAAAAATTAAAGACACTTTAATATTATTAAATGAGATTATTTTTCTCTTTTTTGGTGGCTTGCCGGTGCATGAGATATTATTCATATGAGAAATTATTAAGACGTTGTCTGTTCTTTTTTGCTCACTGAGTCTTTGAAGTCCAGTGAATATTTTACACTGATAGAACATACATGAGATATTATTCATATGAGAAATTATTAAGACGTTTTCTGTTCTTTTTTGCTCACTGAGTCTTTGAAGTCCAGTGAATATTTTACACTGATAGAACATATCGATTGGACCAGACACAGTTCAAGTGCTCAAGAGCTGCGCGTGGGCAGGGGCTGCCGAGCTGGACAGTGCAGGGCTAGCCTGCCCTCTACTTCATCTTCCTTATCTGTAAAATGGGAGTGATCATACTAACTCCCAGTTCTTGGGGTTGTTGTGAAGATTAAGCAGGATGTATATGGTAAGAGGGCAGGAGTTTGGGTGGAGGGGGAGTGGTGTAGGCAGAGTGATGAACAGCCTGTGCCGAGGCCCTGTGGTAAGGAGAAGCATGGCATGTTTATGATACGCAGGATGCAAGGCGCTGAGTAGCTGGACAGTGAGTACTGACACTGGGGCCAGGTCATGGAGGACTTTGGGTGCTGGAGTGAGATCAGTGGATGCTACTGAAGGCATTAGACTCTGTGCGTTGCTAGGGCCCCTGCCCAGCAAGGACGTAGGGAGATGACTGAGGAGGTGTCCAGTCTGGGAAGTCAGTTTGTCCATAGCCACTGTCCCGTGGTGCTTATTACCCGGTTAATTGGTCCCTACAGCTTTCTCATTAATACCTGAGTGCTTCTAGCTCACTAGCTTACATCACTGCTGCTTATACCATGTGCTTCTACTTGTCACAGTTCACATTCGGAGGTGAAAATATGATTGGTCCTGATTAGCATTTAGGGCCAAGATGGGGTCAGTGATTTGCCTGTTGATTGGCTGCTCATAGTCACATCTCCTCCCATCAGCTGTGGTTTCCATTGTGTAGGGTCTGTGGACAGGGCAACTTCCCTAGCAACTGTAAGTGAGCATGGTCAGTGATTTGATTGACACAAGGAGAAACAGGAAGGGCAGGGCTTGGGGACTGACTGACTGTGATTGGGAAATGGGCAAGAATGAGGCCAGGGGTCAGGCCTAATGACTGGGGGTGGGTGGCGATCCTGGAAGGAAGAGTGTTTTGGGGGAAGATGCCAAGCCTAGTTGGGATGCAGTGAGCCAGAGGGACCTGACCCCAGGTAGAGAGTGAGCAGGTTCCTTAGAAGAGGCAAATAGAGAGTGGGAGGGCCCTGATGAGGGGGCAGTGCCCCTGGCTGGGGGAGATGCTCTGATGGCTTCTTCAAAGGCTTGTGAGAACTAGAACTGGGAGTATCATATTCACATTGAAAGGGAAAAGGCATCCCTGGTGGGGAACCTGCATGTGCAAAAGCCTGGGGTTTGTCAGCTGAACTTTGAGGGGTCTAGATGGCCTGCTGGCTGGGTGCAGGAGAAGGGAGAGGAAACAGAACAGATAAAGTCTCTCTGTGCCTGGCTGAGGAGTGTTTTGGCGGCTGTGGAAGGTTTTGGAGCAGGGCAGGATATAGTCCAAAATAGGCTTTTCCATCCTTGGGCCTCGGACCTGGCCCCTGCGTCACTGGACGGGAGGACTGGGAACCATGTGGTAGTTCGGAAGAAAGGACTGGGGGTCAGGGAGCCTGCATCCCTGTCTCATCCTGCCTCACCCTCATACGAAACTTAAGGCAATGGACTGGCCCGTGGCTTACTTGGGAGAGCATGGTGCTGATAACACCAAGTCAAGGGTTAAGATCCCCTCACTGGTCATCTTAAAAAAAAGAAAAAAAAAGAAAGAAAGAAACTTAAGGCAAGACCTTTTATGGACCTCATTTTCATCAGGTTATTGTAACCCTATCTTTGTCCTCCTCTGGCTGATCTAAGAGTCACAAAAAATCATGGGTGTGAAAGCAGTTTGCCCCAAACCAAGACTAGATAGCCAGTACCTGGTACCAGGTCCTGTGTTGCAGCTGGTGTCTGTGGCAGACATCACTAATCGATCCCAGTGCTCTCTACTGCTGAGCACAGTGCCCAGGGCAGTCATGACCAATCAATTGGAGTTATGGATATGAATCCTGTCAATTACTTGACTGAAGATTCTTTGTGCCCATGTCTGGCTCCTCTGCTGTTCTCTTTACTCACCAAAGTCAGATGTGAGTCTGACTCATATCCATTGGGTGCCAGTGGCTGTCTGAGTGTGTGTGTGTGGAGTTGAGCAGGGACAGAGACGGGGAGCCTTTCTATCACTGTGTCCTGCCAACTGTGGGCATGCTTATAAAATGGTCTCAGGTAACCTGCCACCTGTTTGTTTCTGGCACAAACTCACCCTGTTTTGTTTATTTGCTCATCTGTCTTGTTACCACTGTACCGAAGGCTCCACCAAAGGCTCTGTTGGTCTCTCAGTCCCTTCAAGCTGCTATACCAAAACACCAAGACTAGTTGGTTTATAAACAACAAACACTTATTTCTTGTGGTGCTGGAGACTGAGAAGTCCATGATCAAGGGCCGGCCCGTGGCTCACTTGGGAGAGTGCGGTGCTGATAACACCAAGGCCCCGGG